TCTTCTAATCTACATATTAAATTTACACGAATTACAAACAAATCTAAGCAGATTGTTGGGTGCCAAGAAGTTCAGTTGCAAGCCCAAAAGAATTCTGCTGTCTTATCCTATTTAAGTGACCAATCAATAATGCCATAAGCAGCACGCAGCAGTTGCATAGCTAGACAATCGTTTGAGATTGAGGCCCATCATCATTTCGACCGAGGCGTATCTGGGCTGAGCTCTTTCAAACCAAATATTCAAATGCCTGATGTGAACTGTCACCCAGAGTGAAACCTGATCTTTATGTTCACCTGTTTAACCTGTATTTCCAAACTGGTGTAGTAATTAGAGTGCTGGCTATTGTCTTGAGTGTAGTAGCCAGCACTTTATTTCCAGGGAAGTGAGTCTTCAGAAGAATAGAGAGTGGTTCAGTTTCTGTGTCTGTAAATAAACCATCAGTGAATCCAGGTTCGCTTCGATCCTTTTTAAAACCTGTACCACCAGAGACGTCTAACCCAACGATTGAATGCCATTAAAAAAAAATTATCAAATAAAATCGAAATGTGACTAATCAAGGTGGTCTTTTTATGTTGATGGTGGGGTTTGCCATCGCCTACCGATGGGCGACCGCTAATAGAAAAAAATTGTTCTAACAACTCAGGCCTGCGGCTCCCTGCCTAATTAAAATGCTTAACCAAATTATCAACACTTAAATTTTTAAATCACATTGCGATTCTTGAACTATTCTACACATACATATGTACATATGTGTTATGCTTTTCTATTGCGTACACTGTTGAGAAAATTTATGTTTAAAACATTTTCACGTAGCGTTTCTTTGTTGACTTTCATAGAAGGAAGTGGGTCGCTGTGCCCGACCAAGAGCACGTACTTAGTTGTGCATATTTACGTATGTTCTCACGCAGTCGTTGTATGTACATGCCACTTTTTCTGCGCTTAAAAAGCAATTTTTTAAAAACAGCATATCGGCATGCTCTTTTTCAATTTATAACTGGCCAGCCAGCGGCCATTAATTCCTTTCTTTCCATATATACATATGTACATTCTTACGAGTACGGATGTATTTATGTATATATATATATATGTATGTATGTATTTAGGTCACTTGTGCCTACAAGCAAACGCCCAGTTGAGAAATGAAATAAATGTTTGGTGATACTATTATTCTTCTTCAAGATTGGCGCAGGAACCGCCTAAGCGATGTTGGCCGAGTCCAGCACAGCACGCAGCCGTTACAATTCTATGTTAAATGGCGCCAAGTGAAGCCAAGTTCCTCTCCATCTGATCTTCTTCTCTATTTCTAGCATTTTGTAATGTACAAAATTATATATCGCCCTTATAGCCAATTTGTTACAAGATGCAGTGATGTGTAACGTTTTGGTTTATAAATTTATAAACAGAATATATACTTATATAGAAAAAAGTAGTTTGTGGATCCCACGCAAAACTTCTTTCCATTACCGGTACAACAATTTTGAACAATTTCATTTATCTACGTCCAAATCTTAATCTGAAGCCCAATCCGAACCGTAAACCTAATCTGAATTCTAATAATAACTCTCTCTCTCTTATCCTGATGCTAATCCGAATCGCTGCCCAAAAGAGCAAATCTAGTGCAATAAATTCAGTGTTTCACCAAATAAAAAAAAAAATAAAAATTACGTTAAATAAAAAATTAATATAATTTGGAAAACTAAAATTCCATTTTTACACTTTTTATTGGCATACCCGACATTCATTCTAAAATTGTTATATATGTATGTACATGAAGAAAGTACAATATAAATGTGCATAAGGAGTACTGTGTAAAAATCTTTCACGCCAATATTTAGTTACTTTTAAATTATATGCCTTTTAAGTTACGACGTCCGAGTATAGGCGTTAAACGACAGCTTATGGTGCTGCGGGGCGTATACGTTACATACGCAACTACGGGTATATGAGCACGAGTGTTTATTTTTACTTTGTTTAGTATATCTTTTTTAAATTTTCATTTAAATGCAATTTCGCGTTGGTCTCTTTTTCTTTATACAAAACTGAAGAAAAGGCATTTTCTAAGTAAAGTGTGCCTCCGTTTTCGACCAAAAGTTAGATTTGGTCATAAACATACATATGTATCTACTTCCATTCATTCTTAATATATTTGTTTTGCTTGCTGTTTAAGAACTACACATTACATATACGATGGCCTAGGTGGGCAACAGTTCTGTAATTTTCCTACATCAATCATCATAAATTTATTGCTTGACATCATATCCGTGAATATCCATCCAGTGTCTATCATATTTGTGTTGCTTGCCTCGGAAAGGATATGAGAAGATGGCGGAATGTTCAAAAGAATCAGGCAATGCGAGACTGGAGAAAGGACAAGTAAACTGAGCCTGGCGGCTGGACAGCCGTCACCAAAAATTATCTATCAGCTTTGTCAACTTTTGGCATTTTCCATTTTGTGTGTCTAGCGAAAAGGGGTGTGAGTGTTAGCTTAAGTTCCCTTTTGTTTATGTACTTAAGTATGTAGTTTTAAGTGCGCCGTTAATTTTCAAGTAAGCGTGAAAATATCACATATGAATTCACTGTCACCACAAATTGGGCGTCGGAAATGTGTAAACAAGATGACTTCTTACAGAGATGTATACATATGTATCTATATATATGTACGAATATATAAGCAAGGCCCTTGAGATATTCATCCTATATTTACAGAGTATAATTTCCGTAAATAGTTTTAATTGTATTAAGTTGAATTTAATGCGATTATGTGATTTATTGAGCGTATGAGGGTAAACAGCATATTTAATGGTGGAATGCTAGTGTGGGAATGGGTGAAATATGTAGGTATGTACATAAGTGTACAAATCACTCACTTGTGCAAGAGTGTCATAGTCCAGCAGGTTCTGCAATTCACTTCCGAGTGAATTTGAGTCAAGTTTGCTTTGAATTCAAATTGACAGGGGTTGACATTCACTCGGAAATGAATTGCAGAACCTACCCGAGTACTAAATTTTTTATTTTTTTTAGGTATGCATAAATAAGCGCTACCTCTTCTTTAATGTTGCGGAAAGCTTTCATAGCTGTATCGATTAAAATTTGAAACAAGTAATTTTTAGCAAAAAAGATTTTGGATCAGCACCCGGATTCCAGCATAATAATAGCAGGCGCGCCTAACAACATGCAACATTTAGGTACATGTCCCTCATATTGTCAGCTTGGGCTGATTACACATTGCATCTGCTACTTTTCCATGTTGCGCACTTTTAGGTCCCACAGATTTTCATTTTTAAAAGATTGTCGTAAGCGTCATACGCACGTGCGTAACATATACGACAATCATTTACCCAGGCGACGAATTGTTCAAGTAAATGCATATGTACGTGTAATTGTATGTAGCATATTGGTCTAGCCTGAAGTTGAAAGCGAGCTTCGAGTTACCATCTAAAACTAAATAAATATTTGGCTCTCGCACATTTTTGTACGTGTGCAGCCGAACTTCTCCGCCAGTTTCTATGGCATAAGTTTTTGATGGAGGGACGTCCATTTCACAGCACTTGGGCTGCATCACTTTGTACCATTTTAAGAGTGAAGACATTCAATGGTTTACAGCTCCCCGCATCAAAGCAGCACATAAAGTGCCTGCCAGCAGTCAAGCATTAAAATGACGAAACATAATTGGCTTAACGAAAATACAATAAATAAAATCTTTGAGAAAGAAATATCACAAATGTATTATCTAATTGGAAAAATGCCAAGTTTATTGGACTTTAAGTGGTTGAGAAGAATTGTAATGCGCTGTTTTCTATGATCCGCATAGTATGTATGTATGTATGTACATTAAGGTGGAGCGAAATATGGCTTTCTTTGAAAATCGCCAAGGTACCTGCAGAAAGCTGCTTTCTAGCTTACAAATAAGAGTGCAAAATAATATTTGTCTCATTGTTTTTTAGTTAGAGGTGCACCTGCCAGGATCAAGTTCTGGGGGAAAAAAACGGACAAAACTCTGTTTTTTTTTATAAACGAAGCAGAATTTTTTAAAAAAGTATTTTTTGACTAATTTGAGGTTGCCGAAACTGAACTTGATGTTCATTAAATTTTTCATGGAACGGATTTTGGTAGTTATAGGTAGATAGTAATCTCGAAAACCCATATTTGGAAAAACAAATGAACATAAAATTCAGGTTCAGCGACCACAAATTATTCTAGAGACACTTTATTGTTTTTTTTTTTAATTCTACTTAATTTATTAAAAATATGTAAATTATACTTTTGTTAGTACTTGTGCCCCGTCGGGCACCTTTTACTTTTGGGCTTGAAAGTCAGTTTTCTGCAGGTATTGCAAAGCGATTTTCAAAAAAAAAAAAAATTCACTGTACCTTAATGTACATTAGAGTGGCCCAAAAAATTTTTTTCCGTTTATTCAAGGATGAAATTTTTCCCATACAAAAATTGGACCACACTAATGTGCTTACATATGTATGTTTGACTTAAGTTTCCGAAATCTTAACGAAATTTTTAGAAGTATCTAATTTCTGTAACGATTTTTTACAAATCTTCAAAGAACATTATATGAAGGAGTTGACACGAACTCGTAAAGAAATTTCTGTACGAAATATAAAGAAAATTCTGAAAAAATTCTGCAAGAAATTCTTCACACAGCAGCATTATTTTCATTGCTTTACCGATTTTCTTACGAAATTTCGTAAAAGAATCGAAGTGTGCACAGTTTATTTCATTTTAGAAAATTCGACAAAAAATCGCATGAGGTCTTTACTCTGAAAAGTGGTTTTCAGGGCGTATGCTTATATACATATATCCAAAGAGAAATACATTTTCTGCGGGCTTGAAATTTCAATCATGAAGTTTTTTGCGATGAGATTTAATGACATGAAATTTGATTTTCGAGTTTTTCTTTGAATTAAGTCGCAAGTTCAGACACACAAGCAAATAAAACAGAAGTACGTCTACGAAGTACATACATACGTACGTGCACATAAGTAGGCGCATATACGCACATATATATTTATTTTAAATGTCAATTGGATCAAAGTTCAATAAAAATAACTACTGACACTTATATACATCTACACATAGCTATATAAATACAATTACTTTTTTGGATACATATTTACGCCACGTTTGTAAACGTGTGCTGCCATATGCTGGCCACCCAACAAATTGGTGAAGTGTCATCGCAATTCAAATTTCGATATCCCAAATTGAAAGGACCAACCAATTACGCTGGCGATGTACACTTGCTAAGAGTATATTGCTTTTGCTTGTATGCAGTCCCTTTAAGTGCGAGTCCATCGAAATGCCGTACCTGAAAAAAAACTTCTCCCCACACCCTGGACTGTGACTCCTTTTGCCAATTCCCATGTGTGCGTTTATAGCATTTAGTTGCGTTGTGGCGGAGTTGCAAACTCCTGCACTGATGCGTCGTTGAGTACCATGATTGCATTATTGGTAAGCGATATCGCGTCGTTTGTCACAAGCGGCGGCAAATGGATGCTACGTCTACTGCCATCGCCATTCCGTCGTATACGCCAACTTTCAATGCCCGTTCTGCTCGCGCCATCATTATTGCTGTTGTTGTTGCTGCTACTCCGCAAATGCAGTCCTTTGAAAGTGTCGAGAAATGCGCGTCGAAAGCTGGCATTCATGAAGCAATATGTAATGGGGTTGCAACAGCTGGAGGAATAGGCGAGCAGCTGGAAAAAACAAATGGATGTGTAGTCGATGTACTCGTAAATGGCCGGTCCAATGAACATGGCTACGGTATTGATCACATAAAGCGGCGTCCAGCAGATGAAAAACTCCAGCACCAGCACGAAAAGCATTTTAACTACTCGCTTTTTGCTTTCGAGGTTTTTCGTTTCATTTGATCTGTAATGAAGGCGCAAGTGGAGGAGGGAAATTAATTGATTGAGTTTGCATTGAATATTTTGCAAGGTGCGTAAATAAAAAAATAGTCACAACTCAAAAAGTCCTAAATGTACAGAAAGGACAAAAAAAAACCCAAAAGAAAAATAGAGCATCTCAAAAGCATTTTGCCCAGTTGAAGATTGTAGTTGTGAAGCAGAAGTTTGGCGGACGTGAGAAATATGGTATGTGTACTGTTTTATGGGAAAAAATCTATTTTGACAAATTTTGAGTTGTGACTGTTTTTGAGTTAGCGCGCGATATGTTATACCTACATATGTGTAATCGTTTTAAGGGAGAGCGAAAGATAAACTTGGAAAGGCCACTTTTTTTCAGATGACCGTTGATTGCTTGCTAACTAGTTGTAATTCATTATTGCTGCGGTTAGTAGCACAAAAAGTTTTATGTACGTACGTTTATAAGGCAATTAATGTACTTTTGGTTTCTTCTTTTTCTTATTATATAGGCAAAACGAATATGTAATCATGACAAGTTTAGTTTTTGCATTCGTTTTTTTTGTAGTTGCAAAATGGTATATTATTATTTTTAATGATGAATTAAATTGAATTTGATTTTTTAAACATGTGGCAACACCGTTAAATATAGTTCAGAAATAAAGAGTTTTCAAACCCTCCTTTGATAGATACCCAAATTTTAATAATTAGTTTAGCTTATTAAATAATTTAAATTCAATATTTGAAACAGGTGGCAACCCTCTTCGAGCACCTCACAAATATTTTTGGTATTCAAACTAGTGACTCTCTTCCGTTTGACACCCATGTTTTGATATTTCATAAAACTTTTGTATAAGTTAACTAAATTCGAAATTTCAAGCAGGTGGCAACACTCTTCAAAATATTTCCAAACTACTACCTTCTGTAACCACTTTCTTTTGGCATGATTCCAAAATGGTGTGCCTAAGCTCCGTATCGATTTTCGGTACAAATTCTCGAGTTTGAGCTCACTTCATCAAATTTTGTTGTCATATAAAAGAAAATCTGCGGTCTTATTGAATCAACCTGTAAAAACTACTCTTCCTATGAACTAATATGTATTTATTCAGCGTAAAAATTAAAAAAAAAAAAATACTAATTTTTGTACCGCGAAATAGTCAGATACGAATCCATAGTTTCTTTTCCACACTGAATTTAAATTTATAAATATCCCTTATACTATGTCTCCATTGAGAGATTTATTCATTAAGATTTAATAAATCCAGTTGCTAAATCACAACCGTCTCCATTACCACAACGAGATATGTTTGACGTTCATATTTTTAAACATTTGACGTTTGCTTATGTATGATTTTATAAATACAGTTGCGGACATTGATATACAGACAGATAAAAGGAAGGTACCAAGCGGAATTTCATTATATGAATTCTGAATATCATTGGCTTCTTATTCGTGGTAAATATGTATGTATAATATATAGTTTGGAAAGTGTAAAGAATGGTACCATATTTCGAATCATTTTTCCGAATTATCAAAACGTTAAAAAACATTTGCGGAAGAAAAATTTTTGTAGAACTCTCTTATTCATAGGAGGAAACCGAAAATCCAATCGTGGGCCTTTTGCATATCATGAATAAGAACTGAGTTCTAGAGGATGTTCGGTGCAATGTTATCGAAGCAGAACCATTATCGAAATTTATAAATTTTTTGTCGCAGTGCGTAAATGACTTATAGAAAGCGGAGAATACTCTGCATGATATTACTATAAAACATTTCTTCTAAATTTTTAGTTTTTAAAATAATATTTTCTTAATTTATTACAACCAAAGTTATGTAAATATGTATTACTAATTTTCCTCCCAAACTAACAAAAATATAAAAATCCCTAAAAATACGAAAATTCACGTTTTTATGATAGGCTAGATTTCAATGTCCTCAACTGTATATTGAAAACACAAATGTCATTTGACTTATGGCATGTGAATTTGTGGTTGCCACATCCAACAAATTGTACTTATTGATCAATATTATTGAAGATATGACGAAGATTTAACTTAAATCGACTGCCTTTCGAGATTTAATTTTATATGGTAAATCTCAAAAGATTTAGCGTCAAATCTCGTCAGAGGGCTAAATCTTCATTAAATCTCACAATGGAGACATAGTATTAATCTCAATTTAAAATAATTTTTTTTTAATCTATTCAATTACAATAACGCTTTGTCGAGGAGACAAACCTTTGGTTTGCAATTTTTGTATCCCAGGAGAAATGCAATTGAAGTTAGTAATAATAAAATCAAATCTGTTTTTTTGGTTTTTAATCTATTCAATTACAATAATGCTTTGTCGAGGAGACAAACCTTTGGTTTGCAATTTTTGTCTCCCAGGAGAAATACAATTGAAGTAGGTAATAATAAAATCAAATTTGTTTTTTGTTATTGTTTGTAAACATTTCTATTGTTCACGAATACGATTGGAATCTTCATCGCTGAGCTTTATGATAGCTGAACGTACATATGTATGCATGTACATATTTGATTCAAATTATTGCAATAGTATTCAGCTGCATCAAGCTAAGCATAGAATTCCGTTACGAATTAGTGGGCTACGAGTAAAGTTACCCAGTGTTGTACATTTTTTGTTGCACAATAAATCTACAGTGAAATCTACTAAATATGTTTCTGATCTGTTATCAAATCTTGTGTTGATAGAAATATATTTAACGGACTTGTTTCTCAGTGTACTTCAAGTTTAGCGTGTTTTGTTTTTTAACAATCCAGTGAAACGAACCTGAAGGATTTAGGAAATCTTCGAAAATTCAAGGATAACATAGGTTTATAAACAAAAAACGTTCCTGCATATTGAACCAAACCCTACACTCTAAAAAGTGCACGTAAAACTACAACTGAGAAGTGTCCATCTGTGTAAATATACTCACAAGATGTTCAAGATTTGATTTTGAACATTAAGTGTTTGAAATATGCACATAGATACACAAAATAAATGTTTAAAATTGCCAAATATTGAAAGCAAAAATTCATTTTCTAATAATAATAAACATCAAATTCTCATATATACCCAATTTTAAACATTTTGTGTGTAATTTTGTCCTACGTGACGAATTTGGTACATACATAAAAGTAAACAGGCAGTGTTTAATTTTGCACACATTAGGAGCGGAAACTGATTACCTCTCTTTATATGCGTAAATTTAAGCCAAACATTTTTAGAGCAAATTTAAATAAATTTTTTCAAAATACCAAAGATCGTTAAATTTTAGCTGGGGAAACCATAATAAGCTAAATAGGCAATTCCAAGCAAAAGCTTAAACTTTTGAACCCTGCTTGAATAACTCAGTGAGAGAGAAGACCAGTATGTTTACATGTATGTAAATATTTATATAAAAAAAAATTTTTATTGGTTCAAAAATGGTGGGTAGGCACTGTGGCCATGGCAAAGTTCGTTTGCTACCTCTGCATGGTTGTAAGTCATGCAGAGTCCGCAAAATGCTCCGGAAGCAGTGTCCGGAGGATGCATCAGACTAGGCCGAGCATACTTTGAAGTGCCATCTAATTAAAACTTAAGAAAGTTCAATTACATGACAGTTGAGAAGTGCATGTGCAAAAATTTCATAAATTGCATAAAGGAAATTTTTGCACATGCAGCAGTACATAGCAAGTATTTAGGCGCCTGGTGTTAGCAGACGCGCCTAAATACTGCTAATTATGGGCTCATACTTAAGATTGTTTCCGAATTCCACCTATGTATAGTTGAGTTAAGCCAACAATTGCTGTCCCCTTCTTAACTCACCTCCTTAAAGCCGACTCTATAAAGCGCTGACTTGGCGATGAATTGGATTTCCGTCGATCCACCATCAGATATTCCTGTTTATGTTGTGCTTGCAGTGGTGGTGGCCTTTGTTGCAACACATGTGGCTTTTGTTGTTGCACATGAAGCTGATGATGGCTATTATGTTGTTGTGGCAAATTGGCGCGCAGAGTAAAGCGATTCGGTTGCTGCGATGGCGGCTGCTGTTGGTAATCGGCAAACAAAGATGTCGCACTTCTATTGTCCGTGTGGTGGCCATTATTGTTGCAGCCGTGCAATCGGCTGGTTATATTGTTATGTAGTAATGACTGCTGTTGCTGTATTGTTTGTGCCGGTTGCATGTCCCTCTGTTGTTCTGCAGCGCCCACGCATGGCAAGACCCGCAAGCCAAATACACTTTGTGGCACTTTTGTTGAAGTAGTCGAAACGGATTTTTGCAAAATATCGCCGCCACTACCGCTGGAATTGTCTGTATGAGAGCAAAAAGGAAATTTAATCAGAGTGAGTGTGTGCATTCAAAGTGTGTGTTTTCATAGGAAAGTAAATGGAATCTTGTGATAAAACTGGAACTGTGTATATATGTACATATGTTGTTTAACCCTTTCATGCCTGATGTTGTCTATTGGAAAAATTGACATTTTGTTTTATAAATGTTGCTGTTTGAAATAGTTTTTCTAACCGTTTATTTTGAATGAAACTTTAGAATGTCGTAAAGCTAAACAGCTGAGTTGCATGTCATAGTTAAGGAACAAATTAGTGTTTATAGACTTTTCATTGTGGTTACTTGTACGCAACACAAAAGTTGCTAAAAGTAGTTCTGCAACATTAAAAAGAAAACATAATACATTTTTTTTAACAAAAGGGTTATGTTATATGATTTATTAAAGAAAATGAAATGAAAACATCAAATTGTAGTAATTGTTTTTAGTTTTTGTTAGAAAACTATGTAAACATTCATTAGCAACATTTTATAATGGTCAAACCAGAAATCATATGCGTTAGAAATTTATACCCATCTAATAAAAAAAATGCTATGTACTTTTGGCAGGAATACGTATCTCAAGTCCGTTTTGCTCCTTTACAGGAAAAGCACATCAAAACTCACAAGAAAAACATCTCCGAACCCTGACAATTTTTGAGTGGCTACAGGACAGCTGTACACACCCACATCCACAAAAAAAAGTGGCGGGGAACAGACTATCGGACTTATGTATTTTGATGCGTTCAACAGGGCGTGCGAGGGTTAATACCATTTGGTCATACCATAAAGTAGTTGGTTAGCAAAAGTTACAATGTGGAACTGATTGTTGAGGCGTAATTTATATATGTATGTTTATTTTTAGGCAAAATGGAATATGTATTTCCATAGTAACCGTTACCATAAAAATGCCTGGCGGCCAAGGCAAAAGCACATTTGTATACGTTTGTGATTTAAAGGCCGCTACCATAATCAAGCTACGAAATAAATGAAGCAAAGATTTTTTCCGATTTTATTTTTACTCAAACAAATAGAATCCCAGATGAAAGAGAGAAACTTTGTCATTGGAAAGTGCAGCTAACATTGTTTGTGTACCTAAATTTTATACTTACTATTTGCAATGAAATTCAGTTATGCCTTTGGTGAAATTGTCCGTTTGATTGTTTGCCTAATCAGAAATTGTTGAAACATTACGAGAAGCAAAGTTATTTTCATTTGAACGCATTGATTGCATAGTTAAAATCCCTCTTTTCCTAAGTTTGACACACTCACTCTTACCGCTATTTACATACATACTTGCTTGACTATTATTTGCACAGTTGCAATAAATATGTACGTTATTTCCAATTTGTTTTTTTTGCTTTGTTTTGTTGTTTTAATAGCCATGGGTAGCATGCGAGTATGTGCGTGCTTAGCCGTAAATTTCCCTAGCTGTAGAAAAAACACTATATTTTGACACACTTAGGGTTATTTAAATGCCCGCATAAACACTGGCTCTGTAGCAATTAGTGCCAGCTGAGTGGACAATTTAATATCCTTCATTAAGTAGTGTTTTTGTGTACATCTGCGGCCACTGTGCGCAACGTTTGTATGTAGAATCACGGAAGCATAGAAGCTGACCGTGAGAGTGGCAAGCGGAAATGATCGAAATTATGGACACATGCATGAACAAAGTACTAGAATCGCTATACAAATACAAACATTTTGTATGAAGCATAATTGCTTTCAATATCGCGGCGTTTACTACAACAACAACTTCGGCTGTAGCATGAATAACAGTCTATCATCATATGTAGCAGAAGCTTTTATTTGCAATTTCGAATCGCAACTAAAAAGTGAAGGTGTTTTGCCACGAATTTGGCATAGATATGTGGACGATACTTTCGCCATAGTGACAATATCCGACATAGATAAAATACTCGGAACACTTAACGGCCGCTATCCGAGCATCAAATTCAATTTTGAAAAGGAAGACGAGAAAACAAGTTCTCTTCCTTTTCTTGATATTCTTATTAAGCGACAAGGGAAGAAAATTGAATTCGACATTTATCGGAAGTCAACATCGACCGACCGATATATTACAAACGACTCCTTTTGCACATATCAGCAAAAATTGTCAGCATTTAATTCAATGGTTTACAGACCCTGCTCCTTGCTATTGTGTGCACAAGACTATATGAAAGAATATAAACAAATAAAACGTATAGCAGATGTAAATGGCTTCGAGAGGTCACTCATCGATCAGCTGATAAGTAAACACTCTAATCGAATAAGACGGAACAAGGAGAGCACGCTTTTCGCACAGAATCACACCGCAAAGTCGTCTCAACTACAGCGTGTTTCATTGCCCTAATTCCTGCCATCACCAATACATTGAAACACGCCTTACAAAAATGTAATTTGCAAGTAGTTTACACAAACAACAACAAACTGAAAAATGCGCTTGGTTCAACCAAAGACAAATTGCCGACGGAAGAACAGAACGGAGTTTAGGAAGTAACTTGGTCGCATTGCAACTGCAAATATATTGGGCAGACAAGGAGGTCGCTACGTGCACGAATCGAAGAACATCTACATACGTGCAGTAATAAAAAAAAGTAAGTGTGCCTGGGCCACACTGGAGAAGTGAAACTTACGTTACATACATATCTATTTTATCTCATAACCAATATACAATACATACATACATTTTCTTTTGCTTAAGGTTATATTTTTTGACTTTTTTTTTGTCTATCTAGATCCCTAACTCTACCCCTGTTCGTTCTAATTAAATTTATGTTATTCTGTTTTCCTTTTTTTTAATTTTTATCTTTATACTCTATCGATAACAAAATCGATAGTAACATCCAATAAAATATCGATGACAAAACCGATAAAAATATCGATGAAGAATTCAATAAAAATTTCGATAGAAAAATCAATATTAGTATTGGTAGCAAAATCTATTAGAAACTCGATAAAAATATCGATAACAGAATCGATAAAAGCAGCCATAACAAAATCGATAAATACCGATAAAAAAATCGATAAATATTGACAAAAAATTCTATCAATATCCGCAACAAAATCGATAAATTAAAAAAACAAAATCGATAAATATCGCCAGCAAAAACGATAAATATCGATAATAAAATCGAAAACAAAATGGATAAATATCTATCTAATACAAAATCGATAAAAATATCGATAACAAAATCGATAAATATCAAAAAAAATGTCAACGACAAAATCGACAAAAATATCGATAAAAAATATCGCTAACAAAATAGTTAAAAATATCATATCATATCGATAAGTTCTGAAAATATCGATAGAAAAATTGGTGACAATATCGACAAAAAAATCGATAAATATATCGATAACAAAACCGATAAAAATATCGATTATTTTATCGATAAGTCCCGAGAATCCCGAAAGTCTCAAAAATCCCAAAATAGTTTCCAGCTGGAGTCTCTGTGTCTCTCTCTATATCCTTTCCTCTTTAATTACCTTTATTTTAATCTTTCTTCCCCTATCTTCATCTTTACTTCTATCGGTATCCTCATCCTCCTCTCTGTCTTTGCTTTTATGCTTATCATTTTCTTCATCTACATATTCCCCTTCACCTTTGCCCTTATTTAAATAAGTAAAGTGTTTAAATTTACCTTTGTCTTCATTTTTGCCTTTATCTTTACGCATCTTTGTTTTTGTTTTTATTTTTACCTTACATAGTCACCTTTACTTCCATTCTTGTATTGGTCTTTTTCTAAGTGTTATTCTTTAACATTTTATTAGCAAATTTTTGTTAAATTAATACCATATGCTTATACACAAGAAGCGCTTGTTTCAGCCCCAACCATTTCCGTTGCCCCATTTCCGCGCACCACTTCCGTTGCATCATTTTCGTTGCACAATTTCCGTGTGCAATTTCCGTTGAATTTGCCCATTTACTCCCAAACACCCAACCGCCGCTAAAGAAGTTTCACTTCAAAAAGATGGACAACGCTATCGCCGCACATGCATTCGACCTCAACAACACTCGTCCACACAATTCAATGTAGATGAAAGAAAACGTTCATTTATTAAAATATGTTAGAAATTCAACGAAATTGGCTGCTAATCCCTTTTTATTTTCATCAACAATAATTTAATGAACCTAGAACCTGGCGCAATCAATTCTCCACTAATTTAGCTGTTTAAGAAAGTAAAACAATTCATTTGTTTATGCCAATTCCACTTGTTCCATTTGTTTACATTTTTTAATGTGTTTCTCTTAATCAACGTTATTTTTTGATGTATGTATTTATGTTTGTATGTATGTATGTTCACAACTATTGTACCCTTTTGTCTATTTGTCTATTTTGATTAGTGCTCAGTAGTCGCGCGCGTTGATCAGCTGTCAAC